GCTGCTTCATCGACGACGGGTACCTCACCAACGGCTGATGCACGCGAAACTTTTTCCGCGATCTTCTAGCTGGCACACCAGTCAGGTGCCTCCATATTTCGTCTGTTGCGGGGGCCGCAACAGGCATTTCGCAGTCGCGTGTGCAAGCACAGGGTTCATACTAAGAACCCATTCGCAACCATGGACTGCAAAGCATCGCCAGCGATGTGGAACACAGAACCTTCAACATAAGCTCTGCATGTCTGATAACCCTCGTCAGAATCGTTCCCCCGACTGTTTGAACCAGCATTTCGAGGGGACTGCAGTCGTTGCGATGAGAGGCCTTCCAGAGCCTCAGAACGGACCGAAAAACTTCGGTCCTTGATTCTTGATTAGAGGCCTCCTAGATGGGGTCGGAGTAGATGGGGTCGGAAGATCGCGCCGCATCGCCGATACGTCGGCAGTGCATCGGCGATGCATCGGTGATGCACCGTCGATGCATCGTCGACGTCGGCGATGTATCGCAGACGTCGACATGAAGCAAATCCGGCTCCACATCGGGCCCCATCGCCGATGCATCGGGATGCGGCGCGATCCTCCGACCACATCTCCTCCGACCCACTCCAGGAGGCCCAGATCGACCCGCCCCTCCTTCCACGGAAAACATCCGACAGGACCAAAGGCATCACGGCGATCCAAGATCACATCACGCGAGCGGCTTCGGGCGCACGTGCAGTCAGGAGGAGGAGGAGGATTAGGAGGATTAGGAGGATTAGGAGGATTAGGATGAGGAGGACTAGAGGATTAGGAGGATTAGGAGGATTAGGAGGATTAGGAGGATTAGGAGGTGGAGGAGGAGGAGGAGGAGGAGGAGGAGGAGGGGCGGCACAGGCGCGTGGCCGGAAAAGGCCCTGTAAGCCATCCCGGCCAGCAGGGAGTGCCGCTCTCGGGGAGACGTGAGGCTCGGGTTCGGGGGGCTCGGATTGGCCCGACGGGGCCACCGTGAAAATGACGAGGCCCAGCGTGAAATGTGACGCGAACTGCCGCTGCAAGCATCCCACGGGAACTGGACCGTCAAAATCCAGGACGCGCTCGTAAACAAAAAAAAAAACGTCCGCAAAGCCGAGTTCCCGCGTACTCGAGTCTTCAGTTTCCCCGACGCTTGCGGACAAGGAGGCCTCGCGAATTCAGGCGGGCATCAGTCACCCAGCACGCCTGGGCGCGTCCAGAATACACGCTGTTCCCTTGCGGGTGGTGGTGGTGCTCTTGATGTCAGGGGGGAGACTGCATACTGCTTGCTGCCACGACAGAGACGGGTCTGGGAGAAAACGGAACCTGGACTCCAAGGCTTCTTCCGCGACCAACTTTTCATCCCAGTTGATTGTGTTCACGGTCGCGGGGCCCAGGGAAGATCTCCGAGAGACCCGAAAATGGCGAAAACCATTCATAAGGAACACACAGGAAAACATAAGCGTAAGCCCCCAGACCAGGACGGCGACGATGACTTTTCACGTTGGCACTGCGTCGAAGCAGCCAGTCCTGCCAGGTGGGGAGGAGGGACCCTTCACCAAACCCTGCTGTGCTGGCAGCTCCTTGATGAGCCCAGGCGGCTACGGATCCGTGCAGTCCCTTCCTGCCAGAGCGCTCTCCCGACTGAGGCTTGGACCCCCCTAGGCCGTGTCCCTCCAAGTAGAGAGGTAACGAACTTTCGGAGGTCCGCGCGGATCTCTTGGGTCGGCGGTGCGTATCTCTTGCCTGACGCGCGGAGCGCGCCAGGCGCGGCGCCACAGGCCCCGAGAGGCGAGACACGGGTCGGATCCCAACGGGACAAATTAGATCCCAACGCGCTGGGTCATATCCTGACGAGACTAATACTGAAACCGCTTAGATCCCAACAAACCTCACTTACGTTCCCAAGCGTTGTTGTTAAGCGTCTCCTGAAGAAAAAAAGCCTTCTGCGCGCGTCCTCGGCTTCGTCATGGGTCCCTGAGGGTTCCTCCCGAGGTCCGTGACAGATTCCCGAGGATTCCTCGGGATTCCTCCGGGTTCCTGAAGGATTCCGGAACAAAACGCTAAAAGCAATTCTTGAGGAATTCCAGAAGGAGTCTTAAATGATATCTCAAGGGCCACTGAGGAGTCCTCACACATTGTTCAGGATTCGGGAGGGACCCCCAAGAAGTCCTTCAAGAACTCATGGATGATTCTAAGGATTCCTGATGGATTCCTGGAGATTCCGTGAGGATGCCGAAGGGCTCCTCAATATTCCCCATGGATTCTTTGAGATTTCAAAGCATTCTGGGAGAATCCGATCGGATTTCTCAGAACTCTTGCTACATTCCTGAGGGACTGCTTAAGGCTTGCTCACGATTCCTGAAGATGCCTGAGGAGTCCTGAACAGCTTCCTGAAGATTCATGGGGATTCCTGGAGGAATCCAGAAGATCCCATAGGAAGCTGGAAGATGTTGGGGGATTCCGCAAGGTTTCTCAGAATGTATAAACAAGCTTTTTGCAATTTCCTGGATGATTCCGGGGGGTCCTGTGAACGCCTCAAGGATCCTGAAGGCTTCCTTTGGTGTCCTCAGTCTTGAGGCTTCCTGGAGGGTCCCTGATGATTCCTACATGGCCTTTGACGATGCCTGAAGGTGGGGTTCGGCCCTAACCCACGGTGGAAATTGCTCAAAACTTCAGCCCCTCTCTTGGTCGGCTTCATACAAGAGGTACCGAGTTTCACGGTTCTCCCCTAAGTCCACCCACCGTATTTGAGACAGAGGAACTGTTGCTCAGTTATCTTCGTCGCACCCTCGGACCCGACAGGGCCATCAAGGGCCCCCGTGGCCTTTTCAAGAGCCTGGCCCGACACGGCGACGAGGGAATGGTCTTTCGGATCTTCGACCAATCGGCGAATGTATGGTGGAGTGCCTTGGCACCCGTCTTGTGGACGGTGCTCGGACTCACACACAATCAAACAATGCACGCACTGCAGGCCAAGCTCTGTCCTGCACCATTGATGCCAGTTCACCCTTCTACGAGACTGACTCCTCGACCTGAGCGCTCCACGAGCCCACCTCAGACCATTCTTAAAGAGGGGCAGGGTGGCACAGGCAACACGGACAAACGCCGCAGCTCGAGTCTGCGCTAAATCTAACGCCATGAGGAAATCTGTATCGGCGCTCGGGTGGCCAGACAGTGCAAGTTTAGCATGGTTATCAACAATCTTACTAGCCTGTCCGTAGCGATATGTATCGCCGACTAACTGAGCAAACTCCTCATCACAGCCTCAGCCACAGCCTCCGATCACCCGCTGGAGCAGAATGGCAGCGGTAAAGGAGGGAAGTGAACGGAGGAGAAGTGGGTGGAACAGGGAGAGTTGAATGAGAGGAATGAAGAACATGAGGAGAAGGTAGAGGAGAAATATGAGCAGGGGTAAGTAGGTGGAGGGCTAGTAAAGCGGGCGGGGAAAGAAGAGTATGGGGGAGAGGGGGGACGGGTGGGAGTGGCGGGAGAGATAGAGGCTGGAAGTGTGGAGAAGGAGGAGAAAGGGTGGGAAGTCTTAGGAGCAGGAGGAAGGCAACAGCGGAGAGGAAGAGAAAGAGAAAGAGAGAGAGAGAAGGAGTTGGAAAGAGAAAAGAGAGAGAGAGAGAGAGAGAGAAAAAACAAAAAAGAGTTGACGGCGAAAGGAGGAGGAACAGGAAATAACATAATGTGGAATGGGACGTGGGCGCGTTTCTAACAGGCTGGCGCTCCGCGGCAGGGGAGGGGAGGGGAGAGCCCTCCGAGAATGGAGTAGCGGGGAGTGGATGGGGCAAAGGAGGCTGGGCCCCAATCCCCAAACATGCGATGCTTGGCCTTTTCCCGACCGGGGCCCTATACAGATCCCGAACGCTCCCCCCCAGTGCCGTTTCCAGTCCTGGGTAAGACGAAGCCAAGAAAAGGATAAATCCGGGTGATGATCAATCGAGAATCTCTGAGATCCCGTAATTAGCTCTGGAGGCTGCATCGGGCGTCGCGGCCTTCCCAGAGCGTTCCCGGACGCTCTGAAAGCGTTCCAGAACGCTCAGCGACGGACTTCTCCTTGTTCCAGCTCCGTATGGTTGTGTCCGCTTCTGATGGCGCTGGGGGGCCCATCGAGGATCTACTGACCAGGGTCAGTCCAAGCCCGGGTCAGTCGGGCCTTGCAGGATCCTGCGAGACCCTGCAGGATCCTGCACCCAAGCCCGGGTCAGTGCGCCCCTGGCCGTGCAGGATCCAGCAAGATCTGGCGCCCTGGCTGGCCCCCGTTTGCATGGACCTCCGTCTGTGGAGCCCCGACCCAACGGAGCGCGCGCAACCTCGGCGCTTCGCTTCGCTGGACCCCCAGAGGTCCCGACCACATCCCCAGGACTGGTTTTCATCCCGAGCCGTTTGTGTTCGCGGTCTCGAGGCCCGGGAAGGCCCCCCTGCAAGGGCCGAACATTGCGGAACAGAACAAAGACACCTCCCGCCGTGATTTTTTCATGGCTCGAGGGGGGGCCTGGGTCCCCACAGGTGGAGCGTGCGCGCGATTCAAGCGCCACGCCTCGTCGGATCTCATGGGTTTCCCATGAGATCCGACGTTGCAGAACAATTGCGATATCGTAAAAATAATGTTTTTTTGTGTCGGCGGCTGGGCACACGGTGACTGCTCCGGCGAACGGGCATTATGGGGACGCACAAGATGCAAATTGGGCCGCTGTGCGCGAGGGAGGAGGAAGAGACCCCGGCGTGACGTCGTGAAAAATCGCACCCAGAACCCCGGACCGCATCTTTCTGCGTCATTTTTCGAGCCGGATAATTCTGTGAGGGCCCCGGGGCCTGGAATCAGGCGAAAGCCCCCGTTGCGAAAAGGTCATAACGCCAGGAGATACCTCCAGGTCCCGGGACGCGCCCGGCCCGGGCGACGGGAGCGCCCCGACAAACACGGCCACCATCCCGAACAGAGGAATCCCGAGGCCCGCGGGCGCTGCGCGCCGCGGGCCGCCGCGCGCGCGGAGCCTCGTGGGAGGTCAGGGCGTGTCCTGCTCCTCGCGCGCGCGGGCGGGAGGAGGGAGGGCGGGAGGGAGGGGAGGGGAGGGAGGGGGGGGGAGAGGACGAGTGGCGAAGCACCACGCAGGTGCCGGCCTGTGCGAGGAACCGGGATCAGAGCCCTCCCACGGGCGGCGGCGATGGCGGCCCAAACGCAGCGAAGACGACGAGGAAAGCGTCGACGACGAGAAGGCGGACGGATGATATGAGGGCGCTGGCGTTATGGAACCCAAAAGTTGTTCGGCCCTGCTTCCTCGCACCCTACTCCACCCGGGGGAAAGGGAGGGGAATGGGAGGGGAGGAAGGAGGCGGAGATGGAGGGGGGACTCCGCCCTCCCCCCTCCTCCCCAGATTGGCGCGGCGAGGAGGAGGCGCTGGAGGGGCATGCTATGCGGAGGAGCAGCAGCCAGGCAGCTTGCTCTGCGAGTCTCGATGGCAGAACGTCCAACCCCATAAGGAGCTCTCCGACATGCGAGGCTGTTTCTTGAACGCGCTCAAGGAAGGCAGCGAACAGGGCGGGGCTGTTTAGCAAACGCCCATGGCCGTTTACCCAGACCCCCGACGTCATTTTTTTTTTTTTTTTTTTTTTTTTTTATCATGACGTCGACCCCCAAAGGGCTAGACCCATTCCCTGGGATCGGTTTTTCATCCTGAATCGTGTTTTCACGGCCCCGAGGCCCGCAGTGAGGGCTCCCAGAGGCTCAAACACAGCGCGAAACACCTCCCGCCGTCATTTTTGTCACGACTCGAGGAGGCCTGGGTAGGAAACGCCAATCGTCGGGGTCTTTTTTTTTTTTTTTGTTCCTCCCTTGCGACCCCGCGGGGTGCGCGACCCCCCATGAGAAGCACCCCGACGAACGAAGCCGTCTAGGAAACGCGCCCCAGGAAGGAAGCGAACAGGGCGGGAGTGTTTCGTAAACGCCCATAGGGTTGGTTGGGAAACGCCCATCGAATGTCGGGGTCTGGGTGGCTTCTTCCTCCCTTGAGCGACTCCGCGGGGTGCGCTCCTCCGGGTCCTGGCTCGTCTCGGGGCGGGAAAGAAGGGAGGACAGGGGAGGCCCTCCTTCTCCTCCCACTCCTCCCCTGAGATCCGATGTTGCAAAACATGTAACATCGCAAAAAATCACGCCTGCAGCCCCGGACCGCATCCTTCTGCGCCATTTTTCGAGCCGGATCGATCTGTGAGGGTCCCGGGGCCCGGCATGGAGCGAAAACGCCCGCTGCGAGCACCAGGATCTCAGGGCCCCTTCTCCTCCCCATCCTCCCCATCCTCGGGAGCGGCCAAGAGGGGGGTGTCCAAGAGGGGGGTGGGTGCAAATCATGACCGGCGGCATGTGCGCGGCCCAGCGGGGGGGCCAGGAACGTAATGGAATAAGACGAGGCGCCATGAGATCGGGGGAAATATCATGACCCCCGCCATGATATCCACCTCCCCCTAGTCATCACCCCCCTCTTTTCCGCCCCCTGCATCCTCCCGTGTTCAGCGCCCCTCAAACGGGGACTCTACTAACGGGTACTTTGGCCAGTGACCCAGCGAACCCAACCCTTCCCGATGTGGGCAAAGCTGCAATGCAAGAAAAAGGCCCTAAAGTGGCAACTTTCGGCAACAATTCAAAGTACCCGTTAGTAAGTACCCATTGCGGTGCCGTTGACGTGTTCCTCCCCCGAGACTCCCGCGGGGAATGCGCGCGCCTCCTGGTCCTGGCTCGCCTCGGGGCGGCTCGGGCGGCTCTGCGCCTGCTCCCTCTCGGGGCGGCTCTGCGACTGCGACTCGGGGCGGCTGTGCGCCTCTCGGCTGTGGTCGCCTCGCGCGCGCGCGTGCGCGAGGGGGCCGCCGACGGCACCGACGGACCCACGAGTTCGGACGACAAATAACGAATACCAGAAAACATACCCCCAAATGGGACGATTTGACGATTTGTTGTCCATGGTTGATGATGCCTCCTGTAGAAGGACAGGCCCGACTTAAGCCTAGGACCGAAACCGACAGACCTTGACCCGCAAAATGACGGCGGCGACGCCCTCTCGCGAACCGAAAACGGCCAGTTCGCTTATCGACGTGTCAGTGTAGGAGGTCTGGCAACCTCCAAACGATTTCTCAAGGGGGGGGAGGTGGGGTTCACTTTGTCCGGGGCCTCCCGAGCGGAGTGAACCCCACCTCCCCACTCAGAAATCGTGTGTGTGTGTGTGTGTGTGTGTGTGTGTGTGTGTGTGTGTGTGTGTGTGTGTGTGTGTGTGTGTGTGTGGGGGGGGGGCAGGGCTCGCACGTGGCCTCCCAGATGGACCCCGCCCCACCCCCTCGGCCACCCAGGCTGGACAGCGGCCGGCCTTCCCATACGCCCAGCGCTTCGCTCTCTCCAGCGCGCGGTCGAAGGGCCCCTGGGCCTCGACCCGCCTCTTCCCCGAGACAGATGTTGCTCCACCGCGGGCCGTTCCTGTTTCGTTCCTTTCTTTTTCGTTGGGACCAGCTCTGCGCAGCCTCTGGGAGACCACGGCGGGTCCTTTAATAAACAAGACCTGGTGCGAAATGCTCCCCGGACGAGTGGCGAATGCCGCGGGCCGTTTCTGATGACAGCCCCGAGACGTCGGGAGGCCAAGCGTGTCGGCAAAACTGGCCGCCTGGGAGCCAGCTGGAATGCCCCATCACAACACAACGGGCCAGCATCCCCTCAAGACCTCGATCCTCGGATTCTTGGGCAACCCCAGCAGGCCCGATTTCTGAGACGCCCGCTGGGGTTCAACACTCGAAGGATATCTGCATCGGACACTCCAGCGCCGACTGGACCAAGCCAGGCGCGCGATGAAACAATATGGTGCTGCACTGTGCGGCGTGCTCCAGCTCGGAAGCGGCGCGTCGTCCCGGCCGTCTGTCCTCATCCGCGGCTCGGTGGCACGCCGAGAACCCGGCGCGCGTGTGATCAAAACATCAGTTCCGCGCCCCGCGGGGTCTATTCATCAGCCCTGAAGGGGGGAGAGGATCAATTTTTTAACACAAGCTGACATTAGGGTTCGCAACCGTCGCAGAAACATTGTTGAGGTCTGTGCTGGCTTCGGATCTGCGCCGAGCCCCCCTGCGTGCCGCCAGGGAGCTCCAGCGCAGATCCAAAGGGGGCTTCAAAATGTTATGTTTATTTGTTTGTTCATTGGAGAGGTGGTCGTCGTCGCCGTCGCTTTCGTCGTCGTCGCCGTCGTCGTCATCGTCGTCGTCGTCGTCGCCGTCACTGTCGTCGTCGTGGTCGTCGCCGTCGTCGGATTCGTCGACGTCGTCGTCGTGGCGTCGTCGTCGTCGTCGTCGCCTTCGCCGCCCTCGTCGTCGACTTTTGCTGCAAGCGGAAGCCCGCGAGAGTCCGCGCGCACGGCGGACCTCTGCTCCTGCTGCGGCCGTCCCGCGACAGGCTCATGGCGTCGAGCATGCCCGCGTACATCGTCATCCTGCGACGACGGCGACGACGCCGACGCCCGACGATAGACGACGACGGCGACGGCAACGACGACGGCGCCCGACGATAGACGACGACGGCGCCGACGATAGACGACGACGGCAGAGCCCGACGATCGACGATCGACGGCACCGCACGGTCGACGACGACGACGACGACGGCGCCGACGACGACGACGGCGCCGACGACGACGACGACGACGACCCCGTCGCGGGATCGCAGCGGCCCTGGGCCTCGGCCTCGGTGGCCTGCCTGGCGCTCTGGGGGCTTCTTCTGCCAGGGGCCTCCGGGAGGCTCCTCGTCACGGGGGTTGGGTCGGGCATCGTCCTCCTGCAGCCCGACTTTGGGAGACAAATATTGTACAGAAGAAAACCCCAATCAACCAATCAATGGATGGCTTGTAATGGGATCGATTGAAAAATCGATAACTAAAGAGATCGACCGGGAACCCGGGAACCCGGGAACTCGGAACCCACCGAAATCGGCCGGGAACCAATAACCAGGAACCCGGGAACCCAGAACTGGGAACCCAGCCGACCACCAGAATCGGCGTGACCATTTCGCTGAATCTTTGAATTTCCGCTAGTACCCCTTGAGTGCAAGCATTGATTGGGGAACAAAGAATCCAAAATTATAGAAAATGGTGGGAAATAATGGAACAGAGGACAAAACAATATTCAAACAAATCAGAACTAGTCACAAGAGGGACGAAATGCTCAAGAGGAGTAGAGACATAGTCAGGCGACGACTGTCTGGTTCCGGGTCGATCTCCTCATATCGATCTGTTTATCGATCCCACGATTCATTATCGATCTCATGATCGATCTCACTGTTCATCTCACTCAATCGATCTGCCCATCGATCTCATCAAACCATCCACTGATTGGCTCTTCCTCTGGTGTCATTTGTTATACCCCCGAGCCCAGTCCTCATCGCCCTCGTCTGCGTTGTTCCCGAGGCCTTCGGGGGCCTTCCTTGTCGGAGGCGCGGCATTTTTTCATGGCTGTCTGGTCGTGCAGGTGTTCCTATGGGTTTCGGAGGTGGTCGCAAGTCATCGGAGGCCTTCGAGGTCCAGGTCTTCGCATGCTTCCTCCCGCTCACTCCTCCTCGCCCTCGTCTTCTTCAATTCTTGGCTTTCGGGGTCCCTCCTCGTCGCCATGGCAGCGACATCGTAGTCCTCGCGCGTGCCCTTCCTCTGTTCAAAATACGCCTGCATCTTTCGAGAACGACCAACCGGGCGGCTGTCTCAATCAAATTACCCGGTCGTTTACCGTGCACGTGAGAATCCGTGATTCGCGACCGCAGAATATTATCCGACGCAGCGGGGCTGAAAAGGACCGTTGAAGGGAGGAGGCCCTTCCTCCCAATTCCCCCATTATCACATCCCCCTCCCCAAAGATCTGATGTTATCCAATCTATGTCTGCACTGGCGGGCCCCAATCGAATGTGAACAAATTGGGCCAAATGTATCGGGTCAATGTGTCGGGCCGGTGTCGGTAAGCGGCTGGGTTCCCGGATTCCCGTTTCCGATGAAATTGCTGAGCCGATTCGGTGGGCAGCCATGTTCCCGGTTTTTAGGTCCTGGGTCGGCCAAACCAAACAGAACATCCAATGGTACCCTCCCCAGGATGCACACGTGCATCCGACAACATCGGAGAACACGAGGGCACCCTCCCCAAGCGGACATCGACCTTCTACCTCGGTCCGGCCCTATCCACATTCCAGGCCAGCTTGCTATCCCGCGGGTTCGACCCATGTGGCGGCAGCGGCGGCCGGCAAGCGCCGCGCGCGCGGGCGGAGGTCCCATTGTCGCGCAGCGAGAGCGTGGGCTCGGGGTCCTCCTCCTCGAGGTAGTCCTGCTCGAGCACCTCCAGCAGGGAGGGGAGGGGGCACACGGGGGAGGCCATCGTCGAAGGAAGGAGCACCGACTCCCCAAACAAAACACAAGCGGCAACTGCCGCGTCGACAACGAGACGCCGAAGTGCAGTGGTCCTTCAAACAGACCAAACTGAACAAGCTCGCGGCGGTCATGGCGAGGCGAAGGATTTCTCTGACACATCATTTTGAAGGGGAGGGGCAGAGCGGAATTTCTGACGATCGATGACTGAGGTGCTTGATGATTTGGGGCTATTTGGGGCTCGGAAAGCCTTCCTCCGCCCCCTCCCCCATTCCATGCCTCCTCCTCCTCTTCCTCTTCCTCCTTTTCCTCCTCCCCCTCCTCCCCTTCCCCCCGCCTTACGCCGCAGAACTAGCGTTGCATCCAACTAAGGCTAGGAAGGCAACCGAAGTATGATAGATCGGAGCGCTCCGCGCCGCGCCCGCCGAACGACGTGGAGGGCGAGGCTGAGCTGGCCCGCCTACAAGAGGAGGGGGGGGAGGAGGAGGAGGAGGAGGAGGAGGAGGAGGAGGAGGAGGAGGAGGAGGAGGAGGAGGCGGAAGAGGAGGACGACGATGAGGAGGAGAAGGAGGAGGAGGAGAAGGATGGGGATGAGGAGGAAAAGGAGGAGGAGAAGGAGGATAAAAATGAGAGAACAAGGAGGAAAGGAGGGAAAGGAAAAGGAGGAGGAAAGGAGGCAGAGGCGGAGGCAGAGGCGGAGGAGGAGGAGGGGGGAGGGAGGAGGAGGAAGAGGAGGATGGGGAGGAGGAGGAAGAGGAAGAGGAGGAGGAGGAGAAGGAGGAGGAGGAGGAGGAGGAGGAGGACGACGACGACGACGAGGATGAGGGAGGGACGACGACGACGAGGATGAGAGAACAAGAAAAGAGGAGGCAGAGGCGGAGGCAGAGGCGGAGGAGGAGGAGGAGGGGGGGGAGGGAGGAGGAGGAGGAGGCGGAGGAGGAGGAGGAGGAGGAGGAGGAGGAGAAGGAGGAGGAGGATGAGGAGGAGGAGGAGGAAGAGGAGAGGAAGAGGAGGAGGAGGAGAGGAGGAGGAGGAGGAGGAGGAGGAGGGAGGAGGAGGAGGAGGAGGAAGAGGAGGAGGAGGAGGAGGAGGAGGAGGAGGAGGAGGAGGAGGGGAGGAGGGAGGAGGAGGAGGAGGGGAGGAGGGGAGGAGGAGGGGAGGAGGAGGAGGGAGGAGGGGAGGATAGGAGAGGAGGAGGAGGGGGGAGGTAGAACGCGGAGGAGGAGGAGGAGTAGGAGGAGGAGGAGGGAGAGGAGGGAAGAGGAGGAGGAGGAGGAGGAGGAGGAGGAGGAGGAGGAGGGGGGAGGGAGGAGGGGGGAAGGAGGGGGAGGAGGCGGAGGCGGAGGCGAAGGATGAGGGGGAGGAGGAGGCGGAGGAGGACGAGGAGGAAGAGGCGGAGGCGGAAGCGGAGGAGGACGTGGAAGAGGAGGGGGAGGCGGAGGAGGATGAGCAGGCGGAGGCGGACAAGGAATGCACGTGCACAGAGGGGGACGAGACGAGGGCAAGCGGACAAGACGCGAGAAGAGGGCAAGCGATCCCGCTCCTGTCAGTCGCCGCGCGTCTAATCCTCAGCGGATGTTGATATGGATGTAGTACATTGTGAAGGAGACGGCGCAGGCCGCAATGAAGATGTGAGGGATCGCAGGAGCCCGTCACTCTCGAAATTCAGCTTGGGCTCGTCGATCTCGCTCGGCGAAAACAGGTGGCAGAACTCAGGCTGCAGCGCGTGCTCGTCGAACTCGTCCAGCTCGTCGTACGCGGGCGGACACCTCGGCATGAGCAGCTCGTCGAACTCAGGCTGCACCGCCTTCAGCTCAGGCTGCGGCATGCACAAGTCGATGGATTCCACAAGCTTCGCAAAGTCGTCGCAGCAGCCGGCTTTCTGGATGTGCGCGAGAAGGTTGCCGAAGTAGATGCCAAGAAAGCCAGAGGCGTCGTAACATTCATTGGTCGGCTCGGCGTGCTCGAGCTCTGCGTTGAACTCAATCTCGTCGGGTTCCAGCTCGTGCGCGACCTGTTGCTGCAATTCGTAGGTCTCGCTCGGGGTGAGCTGCTCGTCGGTCTCGGATTGCGTCGCCTCCGCATCGGCGGCCTCGTCGAACTTCAGCTCGGTTGACGCGGTCGGAAGCGGCGTGGTAAGCGTCTTGAACGGCATGGACAGCGCGGTGGTCTCGGACTGCGTCAGCAGCTTGGGCGAGTCGGCGACGGCAGTGCCTTGGATACCTGATGCAGGCGGCTGGCAGTCGCTAGAGTGCCAGCCACCAGAATGCGGCCCGGGCAGCGAGTTCAGGATCTTCATGAAGCCGTCACAGCAGTCATCGCGCTTGACGTGCGTCAGCAGGGTGTCGAAGTAATTGTCGAAATGGGGAGAGCCATGGCGGTTGTCAGGTTACTGCACGTGGCCATGTAAGAACTGGACGTGCTGATCGATGGAGTCGATCTGGTGCTGCATCTATTCGGTGTCCACTTCGATGAGCTTCAGCCTCTGGTCGACTGTGTCCAGGAGTTCGTTATACAGGTTGCTGACGCGCAGCCCCAGCTGGGTGACCTGCGTCTTCAGATCAGTTGGATGAGTGCGAGCTTCTGCTACCGATAAGCGAACGTCAGCCGCGGCAGTGTGAACAAGTTCTGCCACTCGGCGTGCTTCGTACCTGCTCGGCGAGTGGCATGACAACGACCGAGCTTCATCTGCCGCACGCCGTGTATCAGCTGCAGCTGCGTGAACTTCATCTGCAATCTCGCGGATGTGGGTGTGCGAGTCGTACGCGGCGGAAAGCTCGGAGCGGATGTCGATGATCTCTTTGGCGACCTGACACTGGAGGGAGTCCATGACGGGCTTGACCGAGGTAGCGAACAGGGTGGGCAGCTCCTTGGCGTTGGAGGCCGACAGGAGTTCGAAGCCCGCGAGAAGCTTTGCGTCCAGCTTATCGGGGGTCCGCTTCTCGAATGTGCGGCGGATACTATCGAGGGTCGCCTCGCTGGGGAGCGCCGGGTTTGAGCCACAATGGCAGGAGGGTCCAGACAACCTGGAACGGGTACTCGGCTCTCTGGAGTCGACGCGGGGCTCGAAGCTGTTGGCCGCAGGCATGTTCTCGCCGATGGTGTCAGCGGCGGCAGCGGGAACCCACGCAGGGAAGTCCGTGCCGCAGGTGTGCGCCCAGGCGACGCGCTTGACGGGCGTCGGGGACGGAAGGCTCCTCGACGTTGCCGGCCAGCGTTTGTGGCGAGCGATGCTGCCAGCCGTATTGCGGAACTTCAAGTCTAGCTCCTCCTGTGGGGCGAGGTGTCCGCTGGCAGACGCCACCGCGCAAAGCTCGGAGCCGTTGCGCTTGTGGAGCCCAGTCTTGAGCTCAAGCTTGCGCACGTTGTCCGTAGCGCAGGCCAGAACCTTCGCCTCGCGCGAAACGGCTGCTGGAGAAGAGATCCGAAGCAGCTCAGGACTAGCACGTGGACGCAGAAGTCCCTTTTTCCACAGCTCGTCGCCGGCGGGCGCAAAGTGCAGCGAGGGAACGGCGTCCGCGGGGTCGAAGAGGGTTCGGGGTACGAGTCGAAATCGTACGAGTTGTAGAAGCTGATGAAGGAGTGGCCGCGCTTGCAGCTGGGAGCGTCCATGGAGCACCTCCAATGGCCGTGAGTATCACCGCGCTTGCAGTGTAGAGGATCGTCGACCAGAACAGGAGCTTCATGAACACTCCATGGCCTCCGCGCCTGCAAAGTCGCCGCTCGGGTCCCAGGGCTGCGCGCGCGGGAATGGCACTTGAACCAAAACGGTTACGGACGAAGGCGGATAAGGAGGAGGAGGAGGAGCAGGAGGAGGAGGAAAAGAAGGAGGAGGAGGAGGAGGAGGGGGAAGGGAGGAAGCGGGAGAGAGGAGGGGGAGGGGGGAGGGAGGAGGGAGGAGGGAGTCTCTGGAGTCTCTGCCTGATCGCGTAGCGATATATTCCGCTCGACCGCACGGCGCGGTTCCACCTTCCACTCAGAAGGCCTTCGACAGCAGGGAGTAGTTCAACGCGTCGACGCTGAGGAAATGGCTGCACCGAGAGCTGAGAGAAGGTCTCCAACCTCACTGCCGCCGTCCTGCTTCGTCGGTGTGTTGCCACTTGTAGACTCCCATTTCCATTCGTAACGTTGAGTACGACCGACTCCAACCTGTGTGTGAATCCATCTCCCATTACTGCCTTGTGATGCGGCCGCCAGGTGTGCAACGCGTCGCACGAAAGGCTGGGATTTCCGTCTCATGGCTCGTGTGATGCATTTATCTTCAAATTCCTTCTGTTCTGCAGCTCGCTCGCGGAGAAACGCTTCCACGTCTGGCTCAGTGATTTTTCTTTTTCTGTAGCTGACGACGTCGGGCTCGACCTTCGCACCGCGAGTCCGATCCCCGTCGTTGAAGCTGATGGCGTTGGGCTCGTGCTTCGTCTCTGCCACTGCCACCATCCAAGACTTCTCGCATGCGCCGTACTCGGGTCTGTAGCTGATGACGTCGGGCTTGACCTTCCCGTCATGCGACACAGCCTTGTCGTTGTAGCTGATGGCATTGGGCTCGTGCTTCGTCACTACTACTGCCGTCATCCAAGACATCTCGCATGCACCGTCCTCGGGTCTGTAGCTGATGACGTCGGGCACGACCTTCCCATCACGCGACACAGTCCCGTCGTTGTAGCTGATGGCGCTGGACTCGAAATTCGGCCCCGCCACTGCCACCGTCCAAGACTTCTCGCATGCACCGTCGTTGTAGCTGATGGCGTTGGACTGGTTCTTCGTCTCCGCCACTGCCGCCATCCAAGACTTCTCGCATGCACCGTCCTCGGTTCTGTGGCTAATGTCGGCGGGCTCGACCTTCCCGTCACGCGACACAGCCTCGCCGTTGTAGCTGATGGCATTGGACTCGTGCTTCGTCTCCGCCACTGCCGCCGTCCAAGTCTTCTCGCATGCACCGTCGTTGTAGCTGATGGCATTGGGCTGGCGTTTCATCTCCGCCACTGCCACCATCCAAGACTTCTCGCATGCATCGCCCTCGGGTCTGTAGCTGATGACGTCGGGCTCGACCTTGGCGTCGCGCGGCGCAAACCCGTCGTTGTAGCTGATGGCGTTGGGCTCGTGTTTCGTTTCCGCCACTGCCGCCATCCAGGGGTTCTCGCATGCACCGCCCTCAGGTCTGTAGCTGATGACGTCGGGCTTGACCTTCCCGTCATGCGACACAGCCTTGTCGTTGTAGCTGATGGCGCTGGACTCGAACATCGGCTCCGCCACTGCCCCCATCCAAGACTTCTCGCATGCACCGTCGTTGTAGCTGATGACATTGGGCGCGTGCTTCGTCGCTGCCACTGCCGCCATCCAAGACTTTTCGCATGCAGTCCTCTGGTCTGTAGCTGATGACGTCGGGCACGACCTTCCCATCACGCGACACAGTCCCGTCGTTGTAGCTGATGGCATTGGACTCGAGCTTCGCCTCCGGCTCTGCTCGCTGCTGCCACTGCCGTTCTGACCCCCACGTTCCTGCCGTGTCCTGTGGATGCTCCCACTGTCCATATTGCTCCCGCTCGCTGCTCCCAACGCTGTAGCTGACGACGTTGGGGTCCATATACTGCATCTTGCGGAGCTGCTCCACCTCGCGGGTTAGGCGGTGGATGGCTCGCTCGGCCGACCACTGTGCCCACGCCCGCCGGGCCTTGCGCTCCTTCGGGGTGAGCCTTGGGCGCCACTCTCCGGCACCCATCCCGTAGCACCGTTTGAAACTCCAGTGTTTGTTAACGTCAAAGGCGGCCGAACATGCGACAGCTGCGACGATATCCCCCAAGCACCGCGCGGAGGTCCTGGAGCCGGCCCGGGGCAAGGGAAGCCTGGGCCTGGGTTGCTTGAGAGGAGGGAGGAGGGAGGAGGGGGGAGGGAGGAGGGAAGAGGGAGGTCACGCAGGCAGGCGGGCTGCGCCCCCTGTGTCTTGTGCTGAGCATGGATGCAACAACAAAAGCTCCTACAGTGCCGCCGAAGGGCCCTGGGAGGCCTCGGGAACGCGGCTCCACACATTTTTTTTTACCCGCGCGAGAAGGTCGCCCCGTGGCCAAGGAGGAGGAGATCAGCAAGGGGGGGGAGAGCAAGAGGAGAAACAAAAGCAGCAGCAGCAGTGCAAAAGAGGCGCGGCCGGCGGCCGACGCCTGGCGCCCCGGCTCCACACATACATTTACAGTATGGGGCCCGACCACGAGAAGCCCGACCCCGAGACCCCGAGACGTCCATTGAGAATTTGTTATTGGTGTGGGATCGTCGCGTGTTCCATGGAAAAGCCATCGAAACCCAAGAAGCCCAGGGCACCCTGGAGGCAAAAGGGTGTTTCTTGGCATGGGTCTCCGCTGTACTCCGATTTGGGAGCCCTCGGAACCCCCCTGGCCAAACTGACAGGCCCCCAAGAGGGATTCCGCCAGTTGGGATCCCTTCTCCTCGGCATCCCCAGGCGGGATTCCTTCTCACGGGATCCCCGGTGGGAAATGCTCACTTTCCCTTCCCCCCCTCCCCCTCCAAAGCGAGAGTCTTTGTCGTGTAGCCCTCGATCGGGATTCCTTATCAAGAGGCATTCCAACTCAAATTCCTTCTCGTGGGCCTCCCCAATTTGGCTTACTCCTGATGACGCCTCCCCCCACACTGGGATTCCTTCCTCTGGTGACGCCCACCCCCACTGGGATTCCTTTCAATGAGCCCCCCAGCCGGAATCCCCTCTGATGCGCCGCGGCTGCGCCAACTCCGCACGAGACCCCCGTCCGCGCGCGGCAGTGCACAGCCGAGCAGCGAGGCGTCAGACGCGGGCGCGGAGCGAGTCCCCCCGAATACATCGCGGCGCGAGAACCCTTGTGGCCGAGTGGTCCTCCACAGGCTCCAGCATCTTTGATATTCAGTAGCATTGGGCTCCCCGCCGCTTGGATCATCAAGGCAGGAATCATCGAGGGGGCCGGCTTCGGGCCCGAAGTTCCGTCGCAGCTCCTGGCATTCTGTGCGCTCCTGTTGCTCGGTGCCCCCTCGCGGAGGGCCCCTGCTAGCGCGAGCGGCACCCCATCGCGAAGCGAGGCGCCGCCCGAGCTCGCGGGCGCCATGCCGACAACACCCAGCCGCGGAGCGAGAGCCCCGCCGACGAGGGCCCCCTGCTCCCCCTCCTCCTCCTCCTCCTCCTCCCTCCTCCCTCCCCTCCTCCCCTCCTCCCCTCCTCCCCCTCCTCCCTCCCTCCCCCCCCTCCCGGGGGGTCACGCGGGAGGCGGGGCGGAGACAGGGAGGGCGGCAGCTGGCCCAAGACGTGGGCGCTGTGTGCTGCTACGTGCGCGGCCCACCACGCGGCCTCGGATGCGTAGCGCCCCCCGCGCTGCAGGAGACGCGCGGAATACAAACCTCCCCGACGGGGTCCGAGCTGATGGAGTCGGGAGATCGGAGCGCATCGCCGATGCATCGGCGGTGCGGCTCGATATGAAGCCCGAATTTCTCCTGGCCGTCGTCGCCGATGCATGTGCGATGCATCGGCGATGCATCGGCGATTCGGCCGCGGATCTTCTGGCCCCATCTATCGGAACCCCATCTGGGACGCCAGATTGGAAGTGGGCCTATGCGGGAGGGAGACGCGGAGGAGGAGGGGGGGCTGGGAGGAGGGGGGAAGACGAGCAGGTGGAGGGAGAGGATTGGGGGAGGAGAAGGAAGAGAGGAGAAGGAGGAGGGGGGGAGGGGAAGGAGGAGAAGGAGGAGGGAGGGGAGGAGGGAGGGGGGAGGAGCGGGCGAGGTGGAGGGGGCAGGAGGAGGAGGAGGAGGAGGGGAGGAGGAGGAGGAGGAGGAGGGGGAGGAGGAGGAGGATGGGAGAGGAGGAGGAGGAGGAGGAGGAGCGGAGGAGGGCACGTGGAGGGGAAGGAGGAGGAGTAGGAGGAGGAGGAGGAGGAGGAGGAGGAGGGGAGGAGGAGGAGGAGGAGGAGGACAGGAGGACAGGAGGAGGAGGAGGAGGTGGAGGACAGTAGAGGAAGGAGGGAGGAGGACAGGAGGAGGAGGAGGAGGAGGGGAGGAGGGGAGGAGTAGGAGGGAGGGGAGGAGGGGAGGAGGGGAGGAGGAGGAGGAGGGGGGGGAGGAGGGGAAGAGGCGGAGGAGGAGGGGGAGGAGGAGGAGGAGGAGGGAGGAGAGGCGGAGGAAGAGTGCCTCCCCCTCTGGCGCAGGCACGCCTTGGGCGGGGGCGGGGGGACGAGGATCCCGCAGGCTGCAGCGCGCCCTTGAGCACCCCACCCCTAAATTTACTCCTGATGTATCGTTTGTTCGGCAATCAAGATGGGCCTGTGTTCCACCACCATAAGTTGGAGGGGGAAGGGGTCCTCCTCCTCCTCCTCCTCCTCCTCCTCCTCGCCCTCCTCCTTCTGCTCCACCTCCACATCCTCCTCCTCCTCCTCCTCCTCCTCCTCCTCCTCCTCCTCTTCGTCCTCCTCCTTCCCCCCTCCAACTTATGGTGGTGGTGGTGGTGGTGGAAAACAGGCCCATCAAATCAAGCAGAGGAGATGGAGGACTCCGCCGCGCCTCAAAGGGGCTATCCCGAACGCACAGCGCGAGCGAGGCCAGCCGCAAGGCAGCGAAGGCAAACACTTGCCACAACCCTGGACTCGGGGAGATCGCGGAGCAGGAAAGCAGACGGCGGCTGAGGCGAAACTTCGTCTTGATGAGGGGGTGTGATCTGCGTGCGCGCGTGATCGGCGGCGGGCGAGGAGGGGGGTTGGGGGAAGTGAGAAGGAGACGGTCTTCTCAGATGGCGGCGGGGCTTCTCAGAAGCCCTCCGGCCATCTGAGACATGTTATATGTCTTTGGGTGAGGCTCAGAAAACTTCCTGGAAGGCCCGGGAACTTCCGAGCCTTCTGAGAAGGCCTTCCTCTGCTCACTTCCCCCCCTGGGCTCGCCGCCGAGGTGAGGGGAGTGAGATATGCGTGCGCGCGTTGTCAGCCAGTGTGCCCTCCTCCTCCTCCTCCTCCTTCTCCTTCTCCACGGCGATGAGGATGACGATGACGAGGACGAGGAGGCTGGCGAGGACAAGGAGGAGCAGCAGCAGAGCGACAGAGGAGATGGACGCCTCCAACGGGTCGTTCTTACGGTGCCCGCGGAGTGCGGCGAGGTCCTATTGGGCCACAGAGCGGGCTCTCCGTGCTCGTCGTCGTCGTCAGCGTCCGCCCGCTCCTTTGCCCCCTCCTCTGGTCGAGGTCTCGCAAGGTAGCCTCTGGAGGCCGCCTCCAAGAGGCTCCCAGAGCAGAGGTAAGGAACGCAACTCCTTTTCAGCCCCCCTAGTCATCCTTCTTCCCTTTCCTTTTCAGCGTTCCATTCATCCTCTTCTTCCTATGTCCAATTTGTCCTAAACCTTATCCTCCTCTTCCTCCTTCTCCTTCTCCTTCTCCTTCTCCTTCTCCTTCTCCTTCTCCTCCTCCTCCTCCTCCTTCTCCTCCTCCTCCCTCTCTCCCCCCTCCTTCTACTCCTGTTCCCGACCAAATTTCGCCAACAGTCAGGTGAGAACGTGTCCAATCAAGCCCGTCCTCCTTCTGGTCGCCTTACTCCTCGTCCTGCTGCTCCCATTCTCACTTCTCCATCATCCGTCCTCCTTCTCTTCCTCCTCCTCTTCTTCTTCCTGGTCTTCCTCCTCCCGCCTCATTACCCTCCTCCTCCGCCCTTCCTCGTTCGACAGGTCCGCGAAGACACAGTTCCACTCCTGGAGTTGCTCGGGCTGCACCCGAGCTTCGATTCGACGGTTTCCCCAGCTCTCTGTTCCACTGCGTGCTTGCCCAGGTCACTGATCAAACCATTTCGCCTGGGTATCGTCGCCAGATGGGATGGTGGGGATACGCGGACCGCTCAGAGGCTTAGAGTACGTGAAGCAGGTGTAGCAGCTGCACGGACGGAGGGGGGTGTTCTTCCAAACTGGGGTTTTGGCGCCGGGCTGCCTTACAATTAAGGTTGAACCTGAAAGCGCACGTGCGACATTTCCACTGATGGTAGGCGGTCCATTTTTGAAACGTTTGACACCTCGTCGGACTTGCTGGCCCTACTTGGATTCCGGCGCTGGTCTCTTACTATAGAGGGGGTTCTGAGGCAAACGTTGAAACACAGATTCAGCCAACCTGTGCATGCGCGGTCTGGCGAAAACGGGCGGCATCAACACGATGCAGAGGAGCGTGAGCGCTTGGCCTGGGCGCACAACGCGCACGACGACCCTGGTAGCCTTCGTCTGCGGCCGTCACTTCTGTTCTACGGCGGTGCACGGGCACGCAGAACACCGCCAAGGTTGTAGGGCCACCCTGCTACCTTTGTCGCATTCCTCATGACTCGCTAGCCACAACCTTCTTCGCATTCCTGCTGACTCGCTAGACCTCGGTCGGGCATGTCCCCCTATAGGCGGACTTTGGACGAAACCTAAAATATTCAAACATACTCATACATGTGCAAAACATAAAAAAGAGTCCCCAGTCTATGCTTGGACTATTTTTGAATACTCCTCATGTAGAGGGACAGGCCAGACTTAACGCTAGACTGAGGCAAGCCGATTCCTTTTGCAGAACGGGGCTCCTGCCTGAGTGTCAGGCCCACTGTCTCGCCTCTCAATGGGGGGCGGTGCTGCCTGTGCAGTGAAGAGAAAGGCCTGCAGGGCAAATCCAAGCATCGGATTTGGGACGAGAAGGCGTATTGCAGCATCGTTGATGTATCCTGGGTTTGCATTCGTCGTCCTCCTCCTCCTGCTCCCTACCTCCTCCATGGGGAAGGGGGGGGAGGAGGAGGATTAGGGGGGAAGAGGATGGGTGAGGGAGGGGAGGGGCATGGTGGAGAGAGAAGCGAATGAAGGGGAACAGGGGGAGGAGGGACTCGGAGGAGGGGGGGAAAGATGAGGAGGGGAAGGAGGAGGGATGAGGGGGAGGATGGCAGGGACGAGGAGGCGAAGGAGGAAGCAGGCCAAGGAGGGACGGAGGAGGGCGGAGGGGGAAACAAGGGGGAGGAGGGGGGGGAGGGAGGAGGAGAGCGGTGGTCGGCCGTCCTGGTGGGGCTCGACCTTGATGTTCTCCAGACATCGGTGTACCATCGTCTCCTGCGGCGCCGTGCGCGGCCAGAGGGGCCGCACAGGGCGGCGAGCCGCCAAAACAGAACAAGCACATCGCGGGGGCGAAAAAGGAAGACGGTGCCTCGGACTCGCGGGGCTGTCTCTCGCTCTTGGCCCCAGCGGGCGTCTTCCCGAGGGGCATGGCGAGGAAGAGGAAGCGGACGGGGGCTGGCTGCGTGGTGGTCGACTCTATAGCCGGCAGCGAACAGCGCGCAGGAGGAGGGGGGACCGAGGGGTGGGAGGGAGAACGGGGGGGAGGACGAGGAGAAGAGAGCGGTGGGAGGGTCAGGCGAGGAGCAGGTGGATGAGGAGGAGGAGGGGGAGGGGGGAAGGAAGGGGATCGAACACGAGGCGGAGGAGGAGGGGGAGGAAGGCATCTGCACGGGCTGCCCTCCTGAAGGCCCGAACGAAGGCGGTCCTGCTGCTCCTGCCGCGGCCGCGCAGGTGGCCCGCCATCGGCATGCCAACTGCCGTCCGTGGGCCACCCGTCGGCCGCCGCTGCTGGTATACGACTCCAGCATTTCCCACACTGGAAGCGCCACGACCATCACGGGAACGAGTTGGACGCCTGAAGTGGCCCAGCCAAGCTCGTGCTCTGTGGGGGGCCAAGATGGCAAGATCGACCCACCTCGAATCGGGACGTCGGACCGACTCGGAGTGTGCGTCTGAGCGAACTGTATCGCCGCGGAGCCTGAATCGAGCCGGATCGGCCGCGCCAAGATGCACAATTGAGAGAACCAAGAGATTCCCGTACCGCTACTCCCTGGGCCTCTCCCGGGGTGCGTTCGCGGCCTGACTGGATTCGAACGGCACCCGCCCCCCCACCCCCACAACCGCCACCCCCCCCCGCCGCTTCCTCCACCCTCCGCCCCTGCATCCGCCCCCCCCTTTCCCCCCGCCCCCCCCCCCCCCCCCCCCCCCCCCCCGGCCCCCCCCCCCCCAATCGCGACCCCTCACTCCCCCCCTAAGACCCCCCCATACCTCACCACCATCCCACCCCAACCCTACACCAAAACCCACACCACCCACACACCCACACACCCACACACCCACACACCCACGCACACACACAAACACACACAGACACGCAGGCACACAGAAACACGGACACACGGACGAACAGACGCACAGACGCACAGCCACACACACACACACGCACACACACACACACACACGCCACAGGACACGCACCAATGACACACACCACAGACACCACTAGACACACAGGACACACAGACACACAGGCACACAGGACACAAAGGACACGGACACACAGTCACACACACATCACACATCACACGACACTCACACACACACGCACACACACAACACGAACACACACGCCACACCACACACACCAACACGTACACGACACACACACACACACACGCACACACACACACGCACACACACCCACACGCACACACACGCACGCACGCAAACGCACACACACACAGACTCACACGCACACACGCACACGCCCACACACGCAAACGCACACACACACACCCACCCACACACACACACACACGCACACACACAGACTCTCTCTCTCACACACACACACACGCACGCACGCACGCACGCACGCTCGCACACACACACAGACACACAGACACACAGACACACTGACGCACAGACACACAGACACAAAGACACAGAGACACAGAGACATAGAGACACAGAGACACAGAGACACAGAGACACAGAGACACAGAGACACAGAGACACACACGCACCCGCACCCGCACCCGAACCCGCACCCGCGCACGACCCGCACCCGCGCACGCCCGCACCTACCCACTCACCCACTCACCCACTCATTGCCACCCACCCACCCACACCCGAAACCCTCACCACCCATCCACCCACCCACCCACCCACACACCCACACACACGCGCACACACAACCACACACACACACTCACACACACACACACAGACGTGTCGTCGTTGCCGCGGGACCACGCAAGCGGACCGCGCTCCAAGCTGGATCTAGATCGGACCAGGCCGGCCTGTCCCAGGCGGCTTGGCAGCGGATCCGTCAATGTGGGGTTCGATCGACCAAATCCGTCGGGCCGTATACAGAAGGCCGAGCCAGGACGTGTCAGACCGGGTCTGTTCGAGTCGGTCGGATCAGGAAGGAGCGGGGCTAGACATTAGGGCAATCTTCGATAGAATCGACCTGGTCGGCACAACGGCGGGCCTGGACGCGACTGGTCCAGCCTGGGCCCGCCGCACGCGCGAGCGCGGGGGGAGGGGGGCGGCCGTCCTGCTTCAACTGCAGGAGCTGCACGTTACGGGGCACCTGCCGGGCCGGACTGGTGCAAGGCATGGGTGGGGAAGGGATGAGGAGGAAGAGCATCCGCTGGAGAACCGGGCCATACGACGTCATCGTTACCGCATCTGCTAATGCAGAAGCACGCGCGCGCGCGCACCTAGGCTCTAGTCTGCCAGGGCGCGTGAGGGCTCGACGTGTGAGCTCATGCATACTCATCGTGATCTGGGACAGCGGCGACGGCTCAGAGGCCTTCCTGTCAGAAGTTGCCGACAGAAGTCCCACCAGCCCTTCAGGGCGTAGGTGGTCTAGGGAGTTTTGTCTTCCATCTGCCCCTCTTTAGACCACTCACGCCCTAAAGGGCTGGTGGGATTATTAGTTACAAGTGGCGTTCGGGCGAGGGATGAAACAAACAAAAAAACAAAAAAAATCTTCCCCTTCGGGGAAAGGTTTGCCTCTCCCCCTTCCCCTCCCCTGGACCTGGACGCGGCTGGTCGCAAAGGGTCAGAGCGTCAAAATCATTGGTCATACTACGGGTTTGGCCCCACCTTAGCCTCTTGGAGGGGCAACCCTAATCGAAGCTCCCCCTTTGTTTGATTGATGTCCTACAAGATGGCACAACGATGGCCCCCAAGGCTCCCAAGGACGCTCCAAGAGAGCCCCGAGAGGTGCCCAGGAGGCCCCAAGAGGCCCCCAAGAGGCCCCCAAGAGGCTCCCAAGAGACCCCAAAGAGGGCCCAAGAGGCCCCCCAGAGGCACCCAATACGCCCCACGAGGCCTCGGAGAGAATGCCAAACTCATTGATTTTACAAAAAGGTTTTGGCCTCCAGGGGGGTGGGGGGGCACTGATTAAGATGGCTCCAAGAGCGCCTGGGAGAGCCCAAGATGACCTCCAAGATGAGCTCAAGATATCCCAAGATGCCTCAAGATGGCTCCCAAGATGCTCCAAGAGGCCCCAAGACCGCTCCAGAACAGCTCCAAGTGGCCAAAGAGCTCCCCCAGGAGGCTCCGAAGAGGACAAACACATTCCAAAACCTTGGGGGGAATCAATGTTGTTTGCTTTCTCGCCTTTTCGCCTCCGATGGCCATCCGATGCCTTAAGATGGCTCCAAGATGGGCCAAGGGGGCCCAAGAGAGGCTCATGAGAGCCCCAAGACGGCCCCCAAAGCGCCCAAGAGCGCTTCATGAGCGCCCCAAGAGGCGACTTTTGGGGCTCCCGAGGGGCAACGCTAACTCATGTCCTCGAAGGTGGCCCCAAGAGCGCTCCCAAGGCTCCACAGAGCGCCTCAAGAGGGCCCCGAGAGGCGCCCAGGAGGCCCCAACAGGCGCCCAAGAGGCCTCCAAGAGGCCCCAAGAGGCTCCCCGAGACGCTCCAAGAGGCCGCGGGGACCGCCAATTAGCCCCCAAGACGCAAGGGAGGCCCAAGGGAGCCCCAAGCCGGCCCCAAGAGCGCCCAAGAGTGTCCCAAGAGCGCTCCAAGAGGGACCCTTCATCTGCGTGCCGCCCACCTCCTTGAGCGAGGCAACTCCTCTGGGCATCGTCTCTGGAGGGGCTGGAAGGGTCACGCGAAGCATCTAGCATTCCAGCACCTGCACGGATGGAGGGCGGCCGGCTTTCGGAATGCGTTTCTCGCCTTGGACAACATAGCTGTTCGGGTTGCGCCTATGCGACTGCACGCATACGACGTGCTGAAACATCCGCCGGCCCTGTCGGCGCGTGTGCGGGGGAGTTCTCGGCAAGTCGCCCCGGGGTGGTCCTGGGATGCGCCTCTTTCTCTTGAGGCTCTTCCTCTCTCTGTGGCGGCCACCTTTGGCTTTCCAAGCTAGCCAAACCCCAGGTGAATCGATCCAGGTCGTAACCGAGTCGAACGGAAGCCTTTTCCCTCTGCTCCCTTCCTCGTCTGGGGGGGTAAGGGGTTCCTAGGATGGGTCACCGGGGTGAGGTCCCGCAGAGGTCCTGTGGAGTGGTGGTCGCAGAGGAAACTGCGCATCGGCGGGAAGGGATGCAATACGCCTTTCGCTTCCAGAGGGCGGACCTTACAGGACACTCCTGGGACCATTCCGAACAGCTCGTGGGACCCCTTGGGGAGACTCTTGGAGTAACCCAAGGGGCCTGCATTCGCGTCTGGAGACCGTCCTAAGTCGGCTTGGGGAAAGACGGTGAACATCTCCAGATATTGGCCTCTTTGGTCCGTCGGTGGCCACTTGGGGCGCTGAAAGATCAGACCATCGACATCTGCACATATCTATACTGCAGGTTCGCGCCATGTCGGCGCCGGCAATGGCTTCTGATACCGCGCGGATCGCTCAAACTCGAACAGTCGGCCATTTCAGAAACTGATGGGCGTGTTTTCCACCACCACCACCATAAGTTGGAGGGGGGAAAGAGGAGGAGGACGAGGAGGACGAGGAGGAGGACGAAGAGGAGGAGGAGGAGGAGGAGGAGGAGGAGGAGGAGGAGGAGGAGGAGGAGGAAGAGGAGCAAGAGGAGGCGGAGGTGGAGAAAGAGGAGGAAGAGGAGAATGACCTCCTCCCCCTCCAACGTATGGTGGTGATGGAAAACAAGCCATTTCAGCAACGCTGGATCGTTCGACGAAGGGCCGATTCTGGGCCACGGGCGGCGTTCAACCCCACCACGCACGCGCGGGGCCCGCCGCCGCTCGGCCCGGCGCGAACCTGCGCCGCGCAATATATGGCTTCGCTGGCTCGCCGTGCCGTCCCCGCGCGCGCAGCACCGCGCGGGAGAAGCCCCGCAGGCCACCCGGCAGCGTCTGGGAGCCCCGGGCCCCCTCTCCGCGGCACCCCTCCGCCCTCCGCCCCTCCCCTCCCGCAGCCCCCCTGCTGCCGCTCCGACGGGCAAGCCCCAGAAGCTTTCCGACCCCCCCCCCGGAGAGAACGAATACTTACAAGCCCCTCGGGCCTCACCTGGTCTTAGCTGGGCCCGGACGATGTCCGCAGCGGTGGTCGCATCGTATCGTATCGGGCTTCTCCGGAAAACGTAAAGAACGAGCGAACCACAACGGACACACGCCCGGGCCTACCAAAAAGACCAGGTGGTGTCGACGATCACTTGCCGGCCCTCTGAATCAACCATCAGTGGACACCCCACCATCTCTGGAGCTGCACCCCAGACCAAGGGCCCCCAACTTCGCGCTTCGCGCTGCGCGAAGCGCGAATCACTTCGCGCTCTCGCGCCCCCTCCCAGGGGAGAAGAGGAGGACGAGGAGGAATCGGGGCCGAACCGCGAAGCGCGAAGAACTTCGCGCTCTCGAGGGCGACCTTGCAGACTTCCCTCCCCAGGCCGGCGCCTGGGCGCAAACGCGGCCCCGACCTCCCCGCACCCACCGCTGGACGGCCGCCCTCCAGAGCCTCAGGCTTCTCGCGTGGCCCGCGCCAACGGAGAGGGCTCGCCGAGGTCAAGGCTACGGGCTACGGCGGGCTGTGCGGCAGAGAGGAGGAGGAGGAGGAGGAGGAGGAGGAGGAGGAGGAGGAGGAGGAAGGGCGGAGGGGAGGCGGATAGGAGGAGAGGAACGAGACGAAGTGACGTGAGGAGGACGAGGCGCGTCCTCCCCGGGCGGCGCCGACGAGTCGTGCGCAGTGGGCTGCTCCCGATCGGTCGGGGGTGTTGCTCGAAGTGCCCCTGACCCAAGGTGCCCGCCCCTAGGACTCTCGGGGTTCCTCCTCCTCCTCCTCCTCCTCCTCCTCCTCCTCCTCCTCTTCCTCCTCCTCCTCCTCCTCCTCCTCCTCGCCCTCTGGGGTGCCCGCCCCCAGGACTCTCGGGGTGGCCCAGACGCCCTCTGGAGTACACCCTGCGAAATGCTGAAGAAATCATGGGTTAAGAAACTCAGAGTCTCAGAATTTGAATAAAAACCCAGAACTTCTATCAAAATCTTGGGATTCACATTGAAACATTAAGAATAATCGAGCCTCTGGCCGAAAACTTGGGTTTTCTTAAGCATCGCCTGGAGAGTACTCCCCACGAGGCCCAGAGGGCCCCTGGGGCTCCGGAATGAGGCGAAAAAAGCGGGGGGCACCTTGGGCCGAGGCACCGTCGATCGCCGATCGCTCGGCCACGTCCCTCCTCCCTGCCACCTGCGCGGGGCCCTGCGTGGGGCGAGGGGGAGGGCGGCGACGTCGAGGACCTGAGATGATGGCCCTGGGACTGGTTACGGCAGGTTCGCGCGGCGTTGGCTCGCGCAAAGGTTTTTGACACCGCCTCGATCGTTCAACCTCGAATCGATCGCGGCCCCGATCGTTGGAGGTTGAATTCCGTAGGGTCCTGTGGCGTTATACCATGTCCCTCAGTGCTTTGACGTCGTTCGATCGTGCGGAGTTCAACCGTGAACGCCTTCGCTGGCGTCGCTGGCGGGCCATCGCCGCCTGAATCTACCAAAAAACCCGTCGCAGGGCCCAGCTGCCGTGCGCCGCCAGCCTGTAGGGAACGGTGGCCGCAAGCGTACATCGTGGATGACCCTCGGGGCCACTGCCATCATGAGGAAAAGCGAAGGAGACGACGTCGAGGAGGGAGGCGTGGGAAGGCGCAGGGAGGAAGAGCAGGCACGAGCAGGGATTCCGATCGCACCTTTGGGGAACCAGACCGCCAGAGAGGAGGAGCAACGCAACGTCCGGGGCGGACTTCGGCGGCCTCTGGTACCCGGGCGCGGGCCCGCGCCTCCGGGAACAGCATCTTCGTGATGACCTTCGCCAGGAAGAGCAGGTGCTCCAGGTAGACGAAGAGCGTCAGCTTCTCAGTCAGCGTGAAGTTCGTGTACTGCTCCTCGGAGACGAGGGCAAGGAAGATGACGATGACTCTCAGGAGGATGCGTAGGAGGAATGCAGCACCACTGAGCATGAAAAGGAGGAAGATGCGTCCAGGTGGCTTCAGGAAGAGGCAGAGAGAGATTGGCGATCATAAATATCAACATCGGGAGGGGAAGTGCAACGGGCCCCAAAGGAGGAGGAAGGGGGGGGGAGGGCGGAGGGGGAAGATGATGATGGGGAGCCAGCTCGGAGGAATGCGCAGGTGGAGGAGGAGGCCGTCAGATGAAGAACAGAGGAGAGGAAGGAGGAGACGAAGCGCAGCAGGAGGCAGCCTCGGAGATCGGCAGTCGGGGACGAGGCTGAGCACGGGGAGGCGAAGAGGAACGAGCAGGCTCCCTGCAACGTAATCCCAGGGCTGCCTCGACCGCCCGAGGCTCCCGCAGAAGATCCACGAGCACCCTCCTCCTCCTCCTCCTCCTCCTCCTCCTCCTCCTCCTCCTCCCCCTCCTCCCCTCCTCACCCTCCCCCTCCCCCTCCCCCTCCTCCTCCTCCTCCTCCTCCTCCTCCTCCTCCTCCTCCTCCTCCTCCTCCCCGCCTTCTCGCCTGCTCCACGAGACGCAGCTCCAAGTGGCCACGAGACGACGGCCCCCGCATCTCTGCGTGCTGGAACCAGCCTCCTCCCAGCAACGGGCTGGCGCATGCGCGTGCCGCGCTCTTCTTGCCCAGAGCTCGAGCCCTCTCCGTCCTCGCTCCCTGCCGCCCCGCTGTCGTCCACGTGAGCGTTTCCTTCTTCGGCGTTTCGACATTGGGCTGAAGGGGGGGGGAGGGGGGGGGGATCTGGCTCCGGACCTCTGATGAGTGCGACTGTATGCAACAGTGCGTCCTACGAGGGGACTCCACCTGCTCGAAACAGGCGCCCAAAACAGCCAAGATCTACTCCATTGAGGGGGGGGAGGGGGGGGGTGCGAGGGCCCGCGCAGATCGGCAAAACAATTATAAAGGGAAATTAGGACACACAAATAAATACACACAAATAAAAATAATCCCCATATTTTCCTATATTTTCTGGGTTTTTGTCTTCCCCCCCAATTCCCATATTTTCCCATATTTTCCTGGGAATCGAAGATTAATTGTGTCTGTGTGTTTTTTTCCCTCCTGAAGTTAATAAAGCAACGATCGCTTTTCTGGACGTGCAGAGCCCCTACGTCGACCCGTGTCGCGGCTGTCGCTGCCGATGCCGCTGATGCGACTCGTGCATGTTCCCTCCCCGCTTCTCCATGCTCCGGGGATGGACAGACCCCCCTTTAGTAAAACGTGGTTTAGTGAAAACGACTTCGGGCCCAAACCTGGCGGGCGCAAGCCTGGAAAATAGCGGCCACGGCGCCCTCTCGAAAACCGAAAACGGACAATTCACTAATCGACGTGTCACTGTTGGGGGTTCTGTCCAGCCCCGAATGCTCCTGCTTCTGGTCCTGAGCAGCCATCCCCATCCTGCGGCTTAGCCTGTCTCTCATCCTCGCTCGCTTCGGATCGAGACCACTCGACGTGACACTTCTTCCTCACACGAGCTGCCGCCACTCCCCGAAGGAGTCCGAAGCGAAGATCAGCAGCAAAACGTTGGTGGAGGCCGCTACGAAGCCAAACACCTCGGTGGGATAGTGATAGAGGGGACTAGAAGAGATGGGGACAGCGAGCGGAGCTAGGCGGGGGATCATGTGACTGTTGAAGGAAAGTGCCCCTGACAGAAAGAAGAAGAAGACGAATGCGTGGCCTAGCGGCACTGCGCTGCAAGGATGATCAGCGGAATGCAACGAGAGAGCGACGGGCAAGTGACTACGATATGAAACCATCAATCTGCAAACACATGCACACAGATCTGTGCTGACACCCAGACACCATGTCCTGACATCACACATTCTGCTTGTTCGCTTGTGTGCCACTTACCACATGTCCGCGATCGTAGAGGGATATGCGCACTGTTTACATGCGTGCATCTTCGTGTGCTCATCAGGGGGGCATGACAACGTCACCATACGGCTGAATCATGAAACAGTCTGCTGGGGCAGCATGAATGGCAATGTACTGTAAGTTCTGACATCCTCAAAACAAAGCACATCTGTGCCGATGCTGGGAGCTGCTTATCAATGCCATACCATGAGGTCAGAGCGGGGACTCGTGAATGCCTTCGCAACCTTCTCCTGTTCCTCCTCCGCTCACCCTTCTCGGTTGTTCCTCACACTCCGCTCGACCCGAAGATCAGACACCGGAAGGACGAGTCAGACCACATGCGACCTTCTGGGGAAACGCTTGGGCAATCCTCACCGCTGTTCGGGAACGTCCGAACACGCCAGGAAACAGTCGAAACTCTCGGGGGATTCATCCGATCCTTTCCAACCGTCCAAACACCACAGAGACGCAGCGCAGGACGGCCAGGCACATCACCGAGAACTGCGGACTCGGTGGCGGCTGCTCTTTTTGGCGGCGTCTGCGAGCCCAGCCGGTCCCGGGCGCAGCCGCAGTCAGAGCCAAGGAGGAACGAGCGAGCGAGCAGCAGCCGAGAGGCGAAGGCTCTGGCCCCCCCCCGGTTTTCGGGCGGAGGGGCTCGCAAGAGCCAGACCCGAAGGGTCAGCAGGAGCAAGTCGGAGCCCAGAGGGCCAGGAACCGACTTCCTGGGGGAGGGGGAAGAAGGGGAGGGGGAGATGGGGGAAGAGGAGGGAGTGGTGGAGGGGGAAGGGGCAAGCTAGGTGCGCTCGCGTCATATCTGACGTCCTACCCCTCCCTCCCATCCCTTACCATGGCGCTGATTTTCTCTATCCGCATACGCGTGTCGTAGCGGACCTGTGGCTCCGCGCGCGCGTGCGTAGTGGGTGGTGGTGCACGTGCGTGCGTGCGTGCGTGTGTGCGTGGTTGTCGTGGTGGTGGTGGTGGTGGTGGTGGTGGTGGTGGTGGTGGTTGGTGGTGGTGGTGGTGGTGGTGGTGGTCGTGGTGGTGATAGGTGGTGGTGGTGCTGCTGCGTGGTGGTGGTGGTGTTGGTATGGTGCGGTGCTGTTGAGTGGTTGTGGTAGGTGGTGGTGGTGGTGGCGCGTGCGGCGCGGTGGGAGGCAGGGCGGATGGGCGCGCGAGAAAGAGGCCCGCGCTGGGGCGAGAACGCCATCCTGAACGACGGAGGCCAAACACCGATCCGAAAATGAGGACCACGCTGCAGCGGGAGCACGATTCGGAACGATTCGGGAGCAGAAATGAGGCCGGCGCCTCAACGAGAGCAGCATTTTGGGAAAAAATGACGCTGGCGCCTCAGCGAGTCGTTTCCCGGGATTTCCCGGGGATCCTGTGTGTAAAAAAACGGTACGCGGAGGGTGCGCGGCCATCACCTGGACGCCATCAGGGGAAGAGGGAGAGTATTTTCATATTGAGTAATTTTGGAGGAGGAGGAGGAGGAGGAGGAGGAGGAGGAGGAGAAGGAGGAGGAGGAGGAGGAGGCGGAGGAGGAGGAGGAGGGGGAGGGGGAGGAGAAGGAGGAGGAGGAGGAGGAGGAGGAGGAGGAGGAGGAGGAGGAGGAGGAGGAGGAGGAGGAAGAGGGGGAGAGGGGGAGAGGGGAGAGTCTTCCAAGGGGGAGGGGGTGGGCGAGAAGGGGGAGGAGGAGCCACCTCGGCGGACCTCCGATCCTGGCTCACGCGCCAGCTCACGCGGGCGCCGACGAAGGCAAGCCTCACGCCCTCACCACAGATCTCCCGAGAGCCTCTTAAAGCCTCCGCAAAAGCTGCCACCGCTCCTCCCGCGGGAACCCTGGACGGCGGCGGCGGACTCGACGACGACCTCGACGACGACCTCGACGACGACCTCGACGACACCGACGACGACGGCGGCGGCGTCTGCGGCCACGACTCGGACGACGACCTCGACGGCCCTGGCGGCGGCGGCCGGGCGACGGCGGCGGCGGCGGGATCGATACGACGGCGGCGACGGCTTCGGTGACGACTCCGACGACGGCCTCGACGGCGGCGACAGCGGCGGCGGGCGGCGGCGGCCGTCGGCTGTGGCTCGCGGTGCCGCCGCGGTGCCTCGAAGGCGGACGTCCACGGCTCGTTGGCGCGGGCTTTCACCGGCAGCGGCCGCTGGCTGGGCGCGGCGGGCGGGACCTCCCTCTCTTCCTCCTCCTCCTCCTCCTCCTCCTCGTCCTCCTCGTCGTCGTCTTCCTCCCTCCTCCTCCTCCTCCACCTCCTCCCTCTCCTCCTCCTCCTCCGTTCTGCCCCTCCTCCTCCTCCTCCTCCTCCTCCTCATCCTCTTCCTTTGCCCGGGGTGCTCCAGGAGTGGGCAATCTCCTCTTCTCTCTCCATGACAGCACCACGACATGCAGCCACGGCACTGCCAGGTGGAACGCCAGGTAAGGAACGGGGGGGCTCTCCTGGCCACGGCAGGCCTCGGCTGCGATCCGTTTCCCCAGCCCAGACCGACGGAACGGCCCGGAAGCCCGAGCCCCTCCTGAGCCCTAAGTGGCCCTGCTGTGCGCCCCCGTGAAGCAGGCCCGAGCGCATTGCTGCCAGTGCGAGGCCTGATGCCAGTAAAGAGGCCCACGCTGCAGGAGGGCAGGCAGGACACGCAGAGGGGCCAGACAAGAGGGGGAAGGAAGGCTGAGGGGCCGGGAGGGGGGGGGGCCGCCAGCAGTTTTGGGAAGCTTGCTGCTTGGGTGGGTGTGCTGAGAGGAGGGGGAGAACGGGGAGGAGGGGGGGGGGATGGTGGGGGGCGGCAGGAGTGGAAACACGAACAGTGGGTGGAGGACGAGGAGGAGATGGAGAGGGAGAGGGAGACAAGCTAGGTGCGCAAGCGCCATATCTGACGTCCTGCCCCCCCTCCCATCTCGTACCATTGCACAGATCGCCTCTTCATTCGCAGAGTCAGATGTCGAACAGGGCAGTGTTCCCGAGAGAGTACGCGAGGCATGGTATAGCACGGCATAGCACGGCCTCGCGTCGAGAACGCGACTCATTTCGACAACACAGTCAGAACGAAACACGAAATGACACATGACGGGACATGCAATTTAGATCAGCGGGGCAGCTGGAAAACGATTTCGAAGGACCGAAGCCCCTGAAGTGAGACCAGCGCTTCAATGGTTCACGATTTGGAAGGACTGTAAGCGCGAAAACGAAGCCAACGCTGGGACAGGAACACGATTTGGAAGAACCGAAACGATGAAATGACATCAAGGCTATCATGGGAACATGATCTGGAAGGACTGGAAGCGGGGAAATCCAGCCAACGCTGCAGCAGACGCGGCATTCAGAAAACAAACTGAAAACGCCCGGATTGGGAAAGCACATTTTCGTCAGCAACTTGGCGGTACCCTGTGTCAGCAGCAATACGCGGAGGAGGCCAGGACACCTCACTGGGGGAAGAGGAGAGTAGTATTTTTATTGTGTAAATGTGGAAGAGCAGTAGAAAGAGGAGGAAAGTGAGGAAACGCATGAGGATAAGGAGTAGCAGGCAGATGTGGCTGATGATAAGGGAAGGTGACAAGGGAGGCACATGAGAGGTGGGGTGTCAGTCACTCCCCACGTTCCCTCTGCCCTGCCTGTTTTGATCGCTTCCCCCACCTTCTACTGCTCGCTATACGTCTCCTTCGCTCATTCGCCCTCCTCTCCCCATCCCTTCCGTACATCCCCTCCCCTTCGATCGCATTCGCATGATTTCGCTTCTCTTCCGTTCTCTTCTGTTCCCTTGCCCACCTTCCTATCCCCCACCAGATCTCCCCTGGCTCCCTCCTTCGCTCCTTCCTCTCTCCCTAGGCCCTCCCTCCCTCCGTCCCCTTCCCTGTCGTTCGCTGCTTCCCTCTCGTTCGCTGCCTCCCTCTCCGCATCCCTCCGTTTTCCTCCCTCCCTCCCTCCCTCCCGCCTCCCTTCCCTCGCTCCACTCCTCCTTGCTTGCTCCGCTCACTCCCTGCCTCCGCCCTGCCCCCCAAAACCTACGACGCCAGCTTATCTGGGGAAACCGAAAAGATACCGACACCGCTGCCCCCAGGACCTCTCCCGCGGTGCGTTCTGACCAGGATTTCGAGGCAAATCCAGCGGTGGCGACGAGGGCCTCCCAGGAGGCCCACAAAGGGGACAACGGGCGAGGGGGTAGAGGCATTAGAGGAAGAAAAACATATGAACACAAACTTTCGACGGTCCGCGCGGATTTCTTGGATTTGTGCTGCTCCCCCTCTTTGGCGCGTGGAGCGCGCCAGGGGCGGCGCCAGATTCGCCGCTTGGGGGGCCCCAGCGCGGATCCAAGAAATCCGCGCGGAGCGACGAAAGTTAATGTTTATGGCGTTTTTTCTTCTTCGAGGCATGGGTACCTTTTCCTCCTCCGAGTAGATCCACGACGTGGGCAAGGCCCTCAGCACGTCCTTCCGTCGCGGGTCGCTCGTTCGACCGCCCTCCCCCCGGGGCCCGCAGAAGAGGCTCCCCTGACACGCCAGGGCTGCGCGGAGAGTTCCGCGCGGCTCCAAGGGGGGCTCCGGTCCTCCGTCGTGGCTTGGGTGGGGCATGTCCCGCTACAGGCCGGTTACAGTCGAGGCGTCGACCTAAGGAACCCTAAATAAGGGAGGAGGCCCCTTCCTTCCATAAATTAAACTTCGACTTCCACATCGAAAACGTGGGGGAACCAGTAGGCAAGCCGTGAAACAAGAAAGGAGCACCGAGCCCCTCCCCACGAAGAGAGTTCCTTCTTCAGCGCCCGGACCGTATGGAAGAAATACAAGAATAGTCATCTCATGTTTTAAGAAAGAGTAACACATGGTATACTCATCGTCCCAGGCCTATTTTTTATTCTATAAGGAAAAACTGTTTTGGGGATAGATGTTCTTGTAGAGGGACGTGCCCGACTCAACTCTTGGCCTCCGCCTCCCCAGTGGGGGCGCCTGTCTTGCAGCAGTTTCTGCCGGTCAATCCAGATCTCGAGGAGGGTGCCCAGCAGCGTGGCCATGACCACCCACGGGGACCTCCGAGGCCCCCGCGGTGTCGGCGCGGCCCCCTTCTGCCCCACCCCTGTTCCTGCTGCTGCCGCTGCTGATGCTGCTCAAAATTCTCCTCCTCCTCCTCCTCCGCCTTCTTGCCCTCCTCCTCCTCCTCCCCCTCCTCCCCATTCCTGGTCATTCTTCTGCTCGCTGCTGTTGCCGCGACCACTTCCTCCCTCCTTCCTCCCGCCCCCCTTCCCAGCAGACGTGACGGCGAAGAAGGTCGCGTACCCGTGCTGGATGAGTATCTCGTCGTTGTCGTCAAAGGAGGAATAGCGGCCCTTTCCGCGCTGCTGCTCCTGGGGCCCAGCCGCCCTACGCGCGCCGCCCTCTGCTGCTCACGGCCCCGAGGACGCACCAGTGTTGCGCGCTGACAATCTTAAGCCGTGCCAGAACACAACTACTGGGACTCCAACGCAACGAATCAATGTGACTAATGTGTCCTGACGACCCGGAGTCGCGCGAGAACGCCACTCCTGGGACTTCCACTGTACGAATCCCCGAAGCTGCTACAAATGTTCAAGACCAGGGTGCGCGGCGATGAGGCGAGAGCCACATTTCAAAAGGAACCGCCCTCAATCCTTCAAGCTGTTGCGAACTTTCACGATGAATGCGCGCGGCGCGCATGCGAGAACCACATTCTGAAAACCACCCACCCTCCATCCATGAAGTTCTTGCAAACTATAAGACGTATGTGCGCGGCGCTCAGCCGAGAGACGCATTTCGAAAACGGCCCGCCTTCCATCCGTGAAATTGCGGCAAACTTGTCAACCGAACGTGCGCGGCGCCCATGCGAGAGCCACTTTTCGAAAACCACCCGCCCAGCAATCGTGAAGCTGCTAGGAACTTTCAGACGAATGTGCGCGACGCTCAGACGAGAACCATAGTTTGAACACGCCCCGCCCTACATCAGAGACATGGTTGCAAACTGTTGAAATAATGTTCACGGCGGTGAGGCGATCCTCCCTCCATTCGCCAAGCAGCTGCAAGTTTCAAGCTTCAGGATCACATGGCGACGAACATTCAGGGGAAACGCTAGGCCCGCCCTACCAACACGTCTGGGGGTGCGACAGGGAGGAGCTGCTCCTCAGGAAAGAGGGGCGGAGGACGGGGGAACGGGACGAGACGTGAGCAAGAGGCGGAGAACACACACACACACACACGCGCACGCACTCACAAACACACACGCGCAAACACACCCACACACACACACGCACCAACACACACACACAAACACCCCCACACCCCCACACACCCACACACCCACACCCACACCCACACCCACACCCACACCCACACCCACACCCACACCCACACCCACACCCACACCCACACCCACACCCACACCCCACACCCACACCCACACCCACACCCACACCCACA